AGTGGCAGCTGCAGGGGGAGGAGTTAGGCTCTAGGTGTCTGATTCCCCAAATTAGCTATTGTGCTCTGGGGCCAGCCATTCTGGGACCGCCCTGGGAAACAGGTCTGGCTTGGAGACCAGAACCAGGGACCAGCCAGGAATGCAGGGCCCCTGATGAGGCCATAAATAGCTGAGTGTGTGACCGGGTCAGAGGGCCCTGCAGGGATGGATATTGGGGTTGCAAGTGGGAAGGGGCTGGATAGGAAACTGTCTGTCATCAATCAGTTCAGGGAGGCAGCCCAGGTACTCTCCCAATGTCAAAGGGAAAAGAGTGTGTCCTCTTCAGCGTGGCCCATCTAAGACCACCTCTGTACCACCTCCCAAGCTTACTCAGAGGCTGGAAAAGCCAGGAAAACCTCGATACAGTGCCCACCATGATCCATCATCATATGCTGTCCATGCAGCTGCATGTGTCCAGGACAGTGACCATTTACACTGTTGTCCAGGCATAATTATTAACAGCACACTGGACGTCTTTGACAGCCCAGTCTGCCTCCTCATTTCCATCCCTATGACCATCCTGGGATTGGGACCAACAGCTCAACCTGTGTCACAGGTAGCAAAACTGATGCCCAGAGCTGTCAAGTGATTTGACCAAGATCACACAGTGAGGCCATGGCTGAGCTGGTGACCTGAATGTTGATGTTGCCGTTGTTTCTCCCAAATGATGTTGCTCCCAATTCAGGGTTATACCTGACAGTCAACATTCAAGGGGGTATCAAAAATTTCGTGGAAAAACTGGGATTAAAAGATAATGGAATTTCTCTGCAAACTTTTTGAAGGCTCCTTACTAATGTTGTTGTTATTAAATGCCATCGAGTTGGTTTCTGAGGAGTGGCTGGTAGGTTTGAGCGATTGAGCCTTGTGGTTAACAGTCCACAGTGCTTATTTCTACAGTGCCACATCAGGACTCCAAAATACAGTCAAGGAAAAACTTATTGTCAACACTGGGAGTAAACGAGGTCCTTTTAATGCCTGGACCACAGTATAAACTGTGACTGTCTTGGGCAGATTGAAATGCTTGGGTATCATACTAATAGGGCGTTGTGATGTTCAGAACTATCTCATATACTCCAAGTCATCCAAAAGGGTACTCTCTCTTTTCAGCCCCACATCCCAACTCTATTTGGAGCTGTTTCCGGTCCCTTCCCCAGTGTTTTTATTTTTCTTAAGTTACTTTCAGCTATCAAGTGACCCTGTTCCCTCCCCTTTCTATTGCTTTCAGCGTGTCCTAGGGTACTGGCATTGCCCCAAACACAAAATGTGTAAAGCTTGCCCAAAACTCATCAGGTGAGTGTTGGGAGACACCCAGCCATTTTTAATTCTGTTCCAGCTCAGGGAGATTTCTAGGGGCTACAACCTGGTCCCCTGTTTCTACTCTTCCTCATCTTTCATCTGTTCTCAACCCAGCAACCTAGGTAATCCTATAAAAATTATAAGTCAAATCATGGTCACCTCTGTTCAAAAACAATGGCTTCCCAATTCTCTTAGAGAAAAAGCCAAGGTTCTTAGAATGGCCTACCACCAGTTACTTAGTCAATGCTGACTCATGGTTGTTGTTGTTGTTAAGTGCCTTCCAGGTGATTCTGACTTACAGTGATCGTGTATAGGGTTTCCAAGAAGTGGCTGGTGAGTTTGAACCGCCAACTGTGCCGTTCAAACTGCCCTTGGTGTCTAGTGCTTTATAGTAATTGCATGTATATCCAATCAGAACTGTGCTCCTTAGAGTTTTCAATGGCTGCTTTTTAGGAAACCCATCCCTTCTACAGTTCTGAGAGGTCTCTGAATGGACACAAATCTCCAACCTTTTGGTTAGCAGCCTAAGGTGTTAACTGTTGACACCACCCAGCGACTCCCTAGTCTGTCTCAACTCCCCCACCCCCACCCCCAAAACAAGCCTGCTGCTGTTGAATCAATTTCAATTCAGGGCCACTCATGCGTTACAGAGTAGAACTGCTTCAGGGGGGCTGTTGTTGGCTGTAATCTTTATAAAAGGAAATGACCAGGTCTTTCTCCGGTGGCACCACTGAGTGGGTTCAAACTGCCAACCTTTACATTAGTAATGCCACCCAGTGACCTTCTGGTAGATTTAGCTTCCTATTATCTGATGTTGCAATAGTTAAGCACTCAGTTGCTATCCAAAAAGATAGTGGTGCAAACCCACCAAGCAGGAGAAAGTCCTGGTAATCTTCCATAAAGATTACAACCAAGAAACCATGTGGGGCAGTTTTATTCTGACATCGGGCCCCTGTGAGTTAGAACCGACTCAATGGTCCCCAACAACAGCACATGATTTCTCTGACCTCATCTTCACAATTTGACAGCCACACAGGCATACTTGCTTATTCCTCAAACACCCCAGGGCCTTTGCACCTGCTGTTCCCCCTCCATGGAACATTTTTCCCTCATAAATCCATATGATTAGTTCCCTCACCTCCTTCAGATTCTTTCTCAATTGTTTGCTTTTGAAAACCACCCTATCAAAAATGCAGCCCTGTGGCCCCCTTGACACTTCCTGTCCCCTTTCTGGGTCTTTTTCCCTAGTACCTACCACCACCAAAGATACTCAATATGTTACTTATTTTTTTATTGTCCAGCTCCTCCCCAATGCTCCATGAGGTCAGAGCTTTTTCATTTGCTTTGTTCTTTGCCTATCCCAGTACTGAAACACTGCCTGGCATGTGTCAGTAAATACTAGTGGAATAAAAAATAAGATTGACTAAGAGGCAGCATAGCATGGAGGTGCACAGCTTGGCCTTGGAAGTAAAAAGGCCTGGTTATGAATCTAATGGCGCTGCCACTTCTGAGCTGTATGACCTCAGACAAGGGTCTTAACATCTCTGGGTGCCCCATTTTCCCCTGTGAAACAGGCGGAGAGGTGGTACAACAGCTGAGCATTAGATTGCTGACTGAAAGGTTGGCGATTAGAGCCCACCCGGTGGCTCTGTAGGATAGTGGTTACGAATCAGGCTGTGAACCTCAGGGTCAGCAGTTCGAAACTACCAGCTGTTCCGCGGGAGAAAGATGAGGCTTTCTGCTCCCATAAAGATTTACAGCCTCGGAAACCCTGTACAGGATCACTATGAGTCAGAACCGACTCCACGGCACACCACCACCACCAGTGGCTCCATAGGAAAAAGACCTAATGATTCGCTCCCATAAAAATCCCAATCCAAACTAAATCCACTGTCATCAAGTCAGTCTGATTCACAGTGGCCCCAAATAGGGTTTCTGAGGCTGTATATCTTTGTTGTTGTTGTTGTTAAGTTCTGTCAAATCGGTTCCGATCCACAGTGGCCCTGAATAGGGTTTCCGAGGAGCGGCTGGTGAGCTTGAACCACCGACCTTGCAGTTCAAACTGACTTTGTGATCCAGCGCATTAACCCACAGAGCCACACCAGTTGTTAGGTGTTATCAAGTCAGTTCTGACTCATAGTGACCCTATACACAACAGAATAAAATAAAGCCTGGTTCTACGCAATCCCCACAATCGCTGTTACACTTGTGGCCATTGCTGCTGCTGCTCTACCAAACCATCTCATTAGGGATCTTCCTCTTTTTCTTTATGGGAGCAGAAAGCCTCATCTTTTTTCCTTGGAGCAACTGGTAGGTTTGAACTGCCGAGGTTGTAGTTAACAGTCCAGTGCCTATGCTATAAAGCCACTAAGTCTCATTTTCCATAAAGATTGTTGTTGCTAAGTGTCACTGAGTTGGTTCCAACTCATAGCAACCTTGTATAGAGTTTGCAAGGAGCGGCTGGTGAGTTTGAACCGCCGACCTTATAGTTCAAACCAACCTTGTGGTCCAAACACACTAACCCACAGCGCCACACCAGGACTCCTGCACAAGGATTGTTGTTGCTGTGAAGTGCTGTTGAGTCGGTTCCGACCCATAACGATCCTGTGTAGGGTTTTCTAGGGCCGGCTGGTGAGCTTGAACAGCTGACCTTGCAGTTCAAATGGCTTTGCAGTCTAGCGCATTAACCCACAGCGCCACACCAGGACTCCAGCCTACAAGGATTACAGCCTAGAAGGATTACAAGGATTACTGCTACATGAGGTTGTTATGAATTGACAACCAGCTCCAAGGCACCCAATAACAACATGTGGATACTACCCATTGTCTCCCAAGGCTGTTGGAAGCATGACATCCATATGTAAACCATTCAAGTCACTGCCATGTTCACTTTAGTCAGGGAGTTCTGCTGTGGCCCTGCAGGATAATGCACTGAACTGCAAGGTCAATTTGAACCACAAGGTAGGCAGTTCAAACCCACCAGTTGCTCCTTGAAAACCCTATACAAGGTTGCTATGGGTTGGGACCAACTGGACAGCACTTAACAACAACAACGAAGTTTAGTCAGTGCCAACCATTGTTACCAATGAAGGCTTCCTGGAAGCTCTAACACTACACTGTGGTTCTGTAACAGACAAATCAGTATTCCCTTTGAGTCACAATTTAGATGTCCTGTCCAAACAGTCTCTCCTTTTCAGACTCGAGTTCTAGTCAGCCTGGCTCAAGTTTCTTCACAACCACCCCTTAAGCATACTCTATCTGACTTTTAAGTCTCCTATTTTTCTCCTAAAATCTTAGGGATCCCTGCCCTGAGGCCCCTTCCACAAACCCACCTCGGTGGAAATAGGAAAGCTGGATGTGAAACAAAGGGAGGAGTGTAAGGTAAAGAAGGAGGCCGAGGGAGAGAAGAGGAATATATGTGAGGCCTGCTTAGGTTGGGGCTGTGGGGGTGCAGAGCAGGCCAAGCCACCCCCACCTGCCAGCTTCCTGTCTTTGCCTGCTGATAAATAGGGGATACTAATGGCCAGATTTTCCATTCCCCCCATTCCGGCTCCTGCTGTCACTGGATTAAAAAAAGAGAGAGGGAGAGGGGTTGGGGGAGGGACAGGAGGCCTCCGGTTATAAGGCCTGTGGTTGAGGGGGTGGTAGCACTCAGCTTGGCCTCCTCCCATCATCCCCAGCTAAGTTTAGCTGCTGACAGCTGCAGGGGACCCTGCCACCAGGCCCTGGCCTGGACAATCGCCTCTCCTCTCTCTCAGTGAGCCTTGAGCCACAGCCCCTCCATGGCCCAGAAAGAAGAATCCGCCGCTGAAGCCCAGGCACCCGCCTCTCAGAATGGGGATGACCTGGAGAACCTAGACGACCCCGAGAAGCTCAAGGAGCTGATTGAATTGCCACCCTTTGAGATCGTCACTGGGTGAGACTGGAATGCTGGAATGCTGTCTGGGGGCAGGTTATATTGGTAGGGGGTCTGGCTGTACTGGGCAGGGACAGTAGGGGACATGGCAACACAGGTCTGTTGGCTTCTCAGGGTAAGAGCTTAAGGTTGCTAGTCACAGGAAGACAGGAGGTAGACAAAGGCCCAGAGAATAAAGCGGACCTCTGGGGCCTCCTGGTATGGGACAGCCATTCTGAATACAGGTTGTTTAGTCCTAAGGAGTTTGGTAAGGAGATAGGATGAGTCTAGCACATTTAAATTTGTCATTAGGTCATTTCTGACTCATAGCTACCCCATGTAGTATTTCCAAGGAGCAGTTGGTGGGTTTGAACTGTTGACCTTACAGTTAGCAGCTTATCCCACAACCACCACACCAGCCCCAGTTAAAAATCCCTCTCTCCTCAACTGTCTCTCTGCTTCCAACTGGGTCTCTCCTCTACCTGTATGTGCCTTTCTTTAGCGCTTCTCTGGAAGAGAAAGTCCTGAGACAGGAACGATAGATCCATTCTTCTCCAAGGTTGAGTGAGCAGCATTTTTTAATGCTTATTAAATCTTTCCTGAGTGTCCCCAAGGGCTGTCCACATTCAGCCCTAGGGAGCAAGAAGTTACAGCGGTAGCCGACATAGGCCAGGGCCAGGAGCAAATGGATGGAGAAGGGGCTGCCACAACTCCAGTCTGGAGGAATGGGGCCCACAGCAAAGGATCTGGAGGCTCCAAACAGGGGGTCTTGTCCAGATCATGTTCTTTCCAGGGATAAAACCAAGTAGTCTTCATCTTCTTCCCCTCTGACTCCTGTAATAAGGGATGCGGCTGGATTCCTAAGCAAAAAAGAAAGGGGGCCTCTAGCAGTGCCTATCTCCAGAGGCTTCAGCAGGAATGGAGACTGGAGGCCCTCAAGGCCCAGAGACAGCACTGGGTGGTCATTCAGACTTCCTGGTGTAAGTCTGGCAGGTGATTTTCCATCTGGTTTGGGTGTTTTCATTTGTAAAAAGAGCAAGTTGTACTTGTTGATTCCTCGGGTCTCTTCCAGTTCAGCTTTTTGCTGATTTCTAAGAGAATCAAAGGGAAATATGTCCTAGTTTCTGAGGTTTGAGCAGTCCTCTGAGCTTCTGTTTGCCCATAACCCCCTGCCAAATCCCACCGCCAACCCAGATTAATACAGACATAGGGAAAGCTAAGCCAAGAAAGTCCCTCATTCATCTTGGGCTAGGAGATCCTTTTTCTAACATATAAGCATGCTGGTCTGTGTTGTCCTTGGTCTTGATCTCTCCAGCATTGAACAGGTCAAGAACAAAATTAGACGGTAAGCAATGGACTGTTAACCACAAGGTTGGTGGTTCAAACTCACCAGTGCTCCGTAGGAGAAAGAGGAGGCTGTCTGCTCCCATAAAGATTTACAGCCTCAGAAACTCTGTGTAAGGTTTGTTTTTGTCTGTGGTAAATTGAACATGCTTTGGAGTTGCAGAGTGGTGGTTCCTGAAGGGTTATTTCTCTGATGTTACATGAGTCCAGGGCTTTATAAATCACAACATACTTCACATGCATGAGAACGCATTCAACTCTCAGTACCAATGTAGGAAAGGCAGATAGATTATTGCCCATTTGGCTCAGTGGTTAAGTGTTCGGCTGCTAACCAAAAAGTCAGAGATTCGAACACACCAGCTGCTCCATGGGAGAAAGCTGTCTGCCCCCACAACAATTTACAGCCTTGGTAAAGCAATGAAACAGTCCTATTCTGTCCAATAGGAATCAACTCAATGGCCATGTTTGGTGTTTGGTTTATAAATGGGGAAATTGAGACTCTAAGAGTTTGAGTGACTTGCTGAGACTATACAACCAGTAAGTGGGAGGTGTTCCAGCTGCCTGTCACATAGAGTTTCCACAGGTCTCTTATGCATTCTGGGCTCCAGGTAGCTCTGCCTGACAGGTACCAAGAGCCAGAAGCTTCCCATGTCCCAAAGCTCTGAGAGCAATTCAGGTGGGAGGTAGCCACAAGCAACAGCTTCTGAACTCTGTTTCCTGGGCCCCTCTGGGGAAAACATGGCTTAAAATAGCCCAGAGGTGTGGCTGTGTCTGTGCAGGCAGGCGAGGGAACAGCGCTCCTCTCCTGCAGAGAGTAAGGGGTCAACATCACAGTTCGTTTCTAGACTGGATCCCACAGGAGTGACTCAACTTCTTGTGCTACTAGGAGTAAGGCTGAAAACTTAGTGGGTATACCAGTTGCTATTCAGTTGACTCCAACTCATGACTTCTACGTGTGTCAGAGTAGAACTGTGCTTTGGAGGGGTTTAATGGCTGATTTTTTAGAAGTACATCACCAGACCTTTCTTCCAAGAGTAAACTCAAACCTCCTACATTTTGGTAAACAGCTGAGGGGTGTTACCTACACTACCCAAGGGCTCCAAGCTAGCAGAAGGTAGGCAGGTTTTCAAGAAACAGTCTGAAGTGAAGAGGCAGTACTTGGTATGAGGGGAAATATGCTCTGCTTTTAGTGATTCTGAGAAGTGGCATAGTTGGTTAAGCATTGGTCTGCTAGCCATAAGGTTGGTGGTTCAAACCTATCAGCTGCTCTGTATTAGAAACATGAGGCTTTCTGCTCCCCTAAAGATTTACTGCTTTTGGAAACCCTATGGAGCAGTTCTATGCAGGCTTTCTGGTTACTGGAGTCCTGGTGTGGTGCTGTGGGTTAATGTGCCAGACTGCAAAGCCGTTTGAACTGCAAGGTTGATAGTTCAAGTTCACCAGCTGCTCCTTGGAAACCCTATACAGGGTCGCTATGGGTCAGAATCAACTTAATGGCGCTTGACAACAACAACAACACATGGCTACCATGCATTGGAATCGACTCGATGGTATTGTTTTCTACCACTGCCATCACACAATGGGCTAGTGATTCTGGCTTGAATATTAAACTTAAGAAAGAAAACAGAATGAATAAAATAACCAGGGGGAAAGTCCATTGAGACTAGAAGACAGCAAACACTCTGGGCACCCCAGCCTGCACCCAGGGAAAAAGGGGCAGCTTCAGGCTTGCCTGGGATTGAATTCCATCCAGCTCATGTAAAACATTCTAAAATTGCAGTGGTGTGCTGAGGCTAGCTCACATTGGCTCAAAAGTCCACTGTGTGCATCTCTTGCTATGTTCGCTGAGAGCATTTATACGATGGACATCTGCAGATGCTAGAAAGTAGCAATTTGTTTCTTTCAGAGAGCTTGCTGTGAAACACTTGCCAGAGCACAACTGAGAGAGAAAAGCTCTGAAGGGAAAGGAGAGGAGAGAAAGGATCAGGTTTGGTCATTGTTAAGATAAGAGTTCTGAAAGGTGAGGTCTGGAGGAGGCATACGTATCAACACTAGCATTTATTGTCTGTTGTTGCTGTTAGGTGTCATCGAGTCGGTTCCGCCTCACAGTGACCCCCATGTACAGTTGAATGAAACACTGCTCAGTCCTGTACCACCCGCCTCACAATCATCCCCTTGTTTGAGTCCATTGTTGCAACCACTGTGACAATTCCTCACGTCAACTGTCTGCTGTTGTCCAGATTCTAAGATTTGGATTACTCGCCCTATCCTTCAGAAAAAGGCACTAAACTTCAGAAAGATGAACAGTTTGCCTAAAACTAGTTGGTGGGATAGAGCATGAATTCTAGCACTATCTGGCTACAAATCAACACATTGCATCTAAAAATTTTAAATAAGGTTCATTTTTAAACATATTTTTTAGAGCAGTTTTACGTTTTCTGAAAAACTGCACAAAAAGTACCAAGTTCCCTATACCCTCTCTCCCCCTGCACACACTTCTCCTATTATTAATTAATTTGGGTGGTTTGGGTTGGTTGGTTATGTGCCGAGGAGGCTATAAATCTTTATGGGAGCAGAAAGCCTCATCTTTCTCCTACGGAACAGCTGGTAGTTTCGAACTGCTGACTTTAAGGTTTGCAGCCCGATTTGTAACCACTATGCTACCAGAGGTGGTATATTTGTTATAACTGATAATCCAATATAGATTGATTCTCATTAGCTAAGGTTCACAGTCAGGATCAGGGTTTCCACTCTTTGTGCTGTAGGGTTGTATGGATCTTGACAAATGCATAATGCCATGTGTCTGCCATTACATTCTCATACAGGCACTGTTGAATTGATGCCTGGTTCTAACATTGCTGTTGGTGGTGGCTGTCACTTTGGCACTGAATCAGAATGACCTTTATGTAGAGCAAAAGGAATCGTTACTGGTCCTGTACCATCTCCATGATGGTTGCTTTGTTCTGCCCATTGAAAATAGAAGACAGCAAACTGACTCAGGACACCCCGGCCTGTACCCAGGGAAAAGGGGGCAGCTTTGGGTTTGCCTGGGACCCAATTCCTTCAAGTCACACCAAACTAGCAACCCCCTTCTCAGCTCCCACAGGTTAGAATGAGCTGTTAGAACACTCTGCTTCTCCTCCCAAGCTCCTCTGCCTATGCCCACTTCTCAACATCTGCTTCTCAAGCGGTTTGAAAAAGGGAGAAGGATATTGGAATTGGCAATTTAGCCTCTTTTGAGCAGGCCACTGGAAGGTCTAGTTAAGGAAAACTGAAACCAGTCAACACTCAATTACCTGTGAGTAGATTTTCCACTTCATGGATTATTTTGGAGCAAATGTTTAATCTCAGATCAATTTCTACTGCCCTCCAGACCCACCATGTAGATTTATGTTTAGGAAATGTGAATGCCTTTTAATGTGAACTGGAGGAAAATATATTTCAGTAAATGTAATCTCATCCCTTTCCCTCTATCAAGCAGAACATCTTCCCAACTTCTTTCTAGATATTGTTGATGTTGTTAAGTGCCATCGAATCAGTTCTGACTCAAGGAGTAGCTGTGAGCTTGAATCACCAATCTTGCAGTTCATACTTTTAAATTGCAGTACCCTGGTGTGGTGCTGTTGGTTAATACGCTGGATTGCCAAGTCGCTTTGAACCGCAAAGTCGGCGGTTCAAGCTTACCAGCTGCTCCTCAGAAACCCTATACAAGGTCACTATGGGTTGGAACTGACTCGAGGGCACTTAACAACAACAACTTGGGTGGGAGCAGATGAAGTACGAATAGGTTTGTGAGTAGAAAATATAAAGAAGCCATGTTTAGAGGGGCGATTTGACAGCACAAAACAGCAATCTGAGGTTGGGAGTCCTGGTGTGGTACTGTAGGATCAGCACTGAACTCCTAACCATAAGGTTGGCAATTCAAACTCACCAGCTGCTCCTTGGAAACCCTATACAGAGTCACTATGAGTCAGAACCGACTTGACAGAATTTAACAACAATCTGAGACTGGGAGAGGGGATAGGAATTATGTGGTTGGCTTCTGTACCTAAAGAAGTGAATGAGCCTAGGAAATTAACTTGATGAAATGGACTACCAGCCTTCATCTCTCTCTTGACACTACACACACACAACTTACCACTTCAGTAATAAGAAATTTACTACCAGCATCTCTCTTCGGACACTCCAACACACACACACACACATATAAACCACTTTAGCAGTAAAACGTTTGTTGGGGATGGGAATAAGGGATCGATAAGCGCTTAGGTATATGATACTTAGGTGTAATCATTCTACTATAAAAGGGGGGGAAATGAGGTTTGTGATTATCCAAGAAATTAAGTGTCACTATTTCCTTCTGCTAGGGGGCATAAATGTAGACTTATTTTGTGCTTCTATAAAATCTTCTGAGATGACCATGTTGTCTAACTCCCTGGAGAAATTTCAGACATCCTGGGTCCTCTACCACCTCTGTTCTCCTGGGTTCCCTTCTGGACCTGGCTGCTGGAGGCACAAAGAACCTCAATCAGCCTTTATGTTCCTTCTGACCAAGAAGCTCATTGAGAAGGCAAGCAAGGTCAGTCTCTGAGCAAGTCCAAAGCACGGACTAGAAACCCAAACCTTCCCTGCCATTCCATTGCCCCTTGAAAGCATTTCTTTTCCTGAATCACCTAGTCCAGTTCTAAATGACAGAGTAGGCTATGGGGCTGCTGGCCAGAGGGATAGGAAACAGGATATTTATAGAGAGGTGACCTTTCCGCCTCTCCGTTGGGTTTCAGGTTTCTCTTGTCTAGGGAAGAAGGGGAGGAGAAACATCAGGGCTTAAGAGGGGCTGAGAGAAGCAGCAGCTTCAATACCAACTGCCAACTTGGAAGGACACACTGAGCCAAATTCATGCTTTCTGCTGCTCTGTAACTGGGGAAGTTGGAGCAATGCTTGGAGCTGGGGGGAAACCTGAGCACTCAACACAGGCAGCTCTCTTGACGCTCTGGGTTGGGGCTTGGAGTGGAGGGTGGTCTGGCAGGACATGAAGAGCCAAGGAGGGTTTAGGCAAGCAAGGTAAGCCCTGTGCTTCTCTTTTCGGGAGTATTTTTCCTACTCCATTTTCCCATGCTATTCCAGGAAGGGACAGCTATTAACGCACCCCACGGGATTCAGAAGTGGTCTGGTGAGGGGAGTTTAATTACAGAGTGCCCAGTTTAAGTGGGAGAGCCCTAGTGTGGTGCTGTGGGTTAATGCACCACACTGCAAAGCCGTTTGAACTGCAAGGTCGGCGGTTCAAGCTCACCAGCTGCTCCTCGGAAACCCTATACAGGGTCACTATGGGTTGGAACTGACTCACCGGCACTTTACATCAACAACAGTGTAAGTGGATGCTCAACAGGGTTTCAGAGGAGAGGGAAATCAGCAGCTCTCCATTCTCTGAAAATGTTAAGTAAATAATAAACACCTCCACACCAGGGACAGAGGAGCTTAGAGAGCTAAGAATAGTATCTGAAGGAATCCCAAAGCTGGACCCTCAAACACATCCATCTCTGCAGTGGAAACTTAATTTGATAGCAAGGGACATGGAAACTTGGGTGGAGGCTATCTGGTGATGGTGGGGGTTGGTGGGGGTGCCCTACAGGAAAAGAACTCAAGTTTACTCAGCTCTTTGGCACCCGTGGTTTATCCCTAAGAAGCCAAGGCCCTGGGACTCCAGGGATTCCCCTGCAGGTCAAGGAGTTGGGTGACCTCCCTGGAGGCCAAACAAGGGTGGAAGGAGACAACGGCAGCTCCCAGTGCCCTAGTGGATCTCCTGGGGTAGCCACAGAGACTACACTTTTAAAAAGGAAGACAGCCCGCCTCTCCAGCTCATGTGCAGACTCTCCTCTCCTGATGTTTTCAATCTTTCATGGTAGAACCTCTTCATTCTCCTCGGCCTTCAAACCTGCACAAATCTTCTCTATTTTAGAAAACACACAAGACATAACAACAAAAATAAATCCCAATTGTGATGGCCTCTCTGGTACCGCTTCTTAGCCTCTTCTGTCTTATTACCTAGACTGCTATGACAGAAATACCACAAGTGGATGGATGGCTTTTAACAAATAGGAATTGATTCTCTCATGGTTTGTGATACTGTTGTTGTTGTTGTTGCTAAGTGCTATTCCAACTCATAGAGACCCAGTATAGAGTTTCCAAGGAGTGACTGGTGAGTTTGAACTGATGATCTTGTGGTTCAAACTGACCTTGTGGTCCAGTGTTTAGCATACAGCAGTGCTACCTGTACCAGGACTCTGAGAAGCTAGAAGTAGGAATTTAGAGCGCTGGCTTTTGGAGAAAGATCCTGGTTTCCTTTCAGCATCTGTCAGCCCAGCATTCTTTGGATCAATCCTCTGGATCTAGGAGCTTCACAGTGTAGGGATTGCAGGTCCAAAGGACACACTCCACACTCCTGGCTTTTCTTTCTTGGTGATAGTGGGTCCCTCTCTTCTCTGTTGGCTTCTCTCTCCTTTTATGTTATAGAATAAAAGGTGATACGGGACACAGGCCTGGGAATCTCCCTTACACTGGATCAGGGCTGTGATGGGATTAATGGTGTTGCATCCCACCCTTAATCTTTGTATTGGTTTATTACATCAAATCACATCCTGGGGGATAATTACACAACTGTCACATTACATAACTACATGCCTACTAATCCACTGAGAGGTCTCCTGGTGTGCGCTGTAGGATAAGCACTGGAGTGCTAACCAGAAGGTCGGCAGTTCAAGCTGACTCTCCACAGCAACAACAAAAAAACCCTGTATCGGGTTTTTAAGGAGAGGTTAGTGGGCTTGAACCACCAACCTTATGGTTAGAAATTCAGTGCTTATCCTACAGCCATAACAGGATGTCCACTCCCAAATTGGACTTTATTTTTAGGCTATTCCCTAACTTTATTCCATCTTCTTCTTATTGCTACACTAATGAATCTTCCTTGGACCTTCCTATGATACCCTTCTTCTACTCAAGAACCTGCAATGGTTTTCTATTGCTTTCTACAGAAAGGCTAAATATTCTCCACTTCACTGGTTTGTTTTTAGCAATCCTTGTAATGTTCTCAGCTGTTCTATTGACATCTCTTTCCAGCTAGATCCTACATTATAAGCATGTGAGGCCAAGCCTTTTAAGATTCTGAAGTGCCTCAATGCTATACACAAGCTAAGCTGTACCAAGGCCTCACTGATACTGATTCTTGGACACTTAGGATTCGAGTCCTTCCTTCAGCTTGATAAATGGTCCTTAGGAACCCTGGTGGCAGAGTCGGATAATCACTGGACTGATAACTGAAAGATGAGTAGTTCAAACCTACCAGCTGCTCTGTGGGAGAAAGATGAGGCAGGCAGTCTGCTTCTGTAAAGAGTCACAGCCTCAGAAATCCTATGGGCAGTTCTGCTCTGACCTGTAAGGTCACTAAGGGTCGGAATCGAGTAGCTGACATTACTACAAGACTTAGGCCATCCCTTGCCCACAAAGCAATTTACATGAGCTACAAGGGGAGAAATGAAAGCATGACATGTTTTGCAAACCTTCTGTCTTGCTTTGTCATGAGAAATTTTACATGCTTGCTATTGGGTAAAATTGAAATTAGAACACTACTTTTCAAACCTGGCAGTCTATTAGAATCATCTGAGGAGCTTTTTAAAAACATGCTGCTGTCTAGGCCCCCTTTCCTGGTGCTCTGATTTAATTGGTTTTGTGAGAGGCCCAGGTATTGATATTTTTAGAGAGTCCTGGCATGGCACTGTAGGATAAGCACTGGATCACAAGGTAGGCTTGAACTGCGAGGTCGGCGGTTCAAACCCACCAGCTGTTCCTCAAAAACCCTATATAGGGTCGCTAGGAGTCAGAACCAACTCAACTGGTGCTTAACAACAGATGATTCTAATGAATACTCAGGTTCAAGACTTTGGCTTGATGGAGTGCATTGTTTGGGGAGTGACGATAGAGAAATGCTCAGAGACCCTCTAGTCAGTTGACCACAATGCACCTCCCAATGTAGATTCTTTCCTCTCCTCCAGATAAGTCCTTCTTTTGAACCGTTTATGCCTTTTTGTCATTAACCTGTTAGTATTGCTATTGTTAAGTGCCCTTGAGTCAGTTCTGACTCATAGTGATCTTGTATAGGGTTTCCAAGGAGCGGCTGGTGAGTTTGAACCACCGATCTTGCGGTATAGTGCATTATCCCACAGTGCCCCACCAGGACTCCTGTTAGTGCGGGTCGGGCCAATTTCGATATTAAGAGTGACTGTATTGGGCTTAAAGCTCTCTGATCCAAGCTGGTCCTAGAAACAAGGATTCATCAATCTCCCTTCTTCCCTTGACCTACAGAGAACGGCTACCTGTCAACTACTTTAAGTTCCAATTCCGGAATGTGGAGTATAGTTCTGGGCGGAACAAGACCTTCCTCTGCTATGTGGTTGAAGCGCAAGGCAAGGAGGGTCAAGTGCAGGCATCACGGGGCTACCTAGAGGATGAACATGCGACCGCCCACGCCGAGGAAGCCTTCTTCAACACCATTCTGCCAGCCTGCGACCCAGCCATGCGATACAATGTCACCTGGTATGTGTCCTCCAGCCCCTGCGTAGCTTGTGCTGACCGTATTATCAAAACCCTCAGCAACACCAAGAACCTGCGCCTGCTGATTCTGGTGGGGCGGATCTTCATGTGGGAGGAGCCAGAGATCCAGGCTGCCCTGAAGAAGCTGAAGGAGGCAGGCTGCAAACTGCGCATCATGAAGCCCCAGGACTTCGAGTATGTCTGGCAGAATTTTGTGGAGCAAGAAGAGGGTGAATCCAAGGCCTTTCAGCCTTGGGAGGACCTTCAGGAGAACTTCCTATACTACGAGGAGAAGTTGGCGGATATCCTGAAGTAGGCCACCAGGCTCGGCCTCACGTGAGTTTTCCTAGTGCCACTGCACAGCCAGCATGTTAACTGGTAACTTGGGTAGGAGGCGTGAGGTCAGGTGGAATGTGTGGTATAATGTCATTCTGCTTTGGAAGTTTCATTCCTCGCTTTTTTAGTGGTTGTAAAAACATTTTAGAACACCCTGTCTCATTCATCTTCTCTCTGGGGACCTCTTCATAAACAGTTTTCTTTTCTGCACTTTTATGTCAAACTAACTTTTCACATCACTTGGAAATCCTTAAGGCTGACAAGGATCCTAAAACCTTGCTGGGATGAAATGGCTCTTTGTTGTGTGTCACTGAGTGGATTACTTGAGGTACAACTGCCACATTGGGTTTCCCAGTTGTTTTGAAAAGCAGATTGCCACATCTTTCTTCTGCAGAGCAGCTGGTGGGTTTGAATCTCTGACCCTTCAGCTAGCAACCAACTGTTTAACCACTTATGCCACCAGGGATCTTTGTAGTTAACTTTAATTTGAATAGAATTATCTTTATCGAATGGCAGCAGAGAAGATATTTAAATTTCATATGTCATGTCCACCTTCTAGATGCCACCTCCCACCCAACCCTCATTAAGCTTACTGTTCCATTTTTGTCTAATACAGGTTTTCCATTCCTTCAGAACCAATGTTTTAAGTTTTGGTAATTTTGCAACTCCCCAAATGGATTTGTATTCAACTTTTTTTTTTTTTTTTTTGTCCATAGACACTTTCATGCTCTTAAACCAATGATAATGCACTGAGGGAGACCAATACTTGCTATGTGAACGGATCATTCAAGAACAGTTTCCTTTGTTGAGAAAATCTCAGCCATACTCATAAGGAAAATGTTGGAGGAACTGGATAGTGTAACATACTATTCTGTGCGGAAAGTTTTAAAGGGTTAAAAAGATGTTTGTAACTTGGGCAGCAGCTCAGAAGTAGCCACAGACAGATACCAAGAGGTGATAGGAGAATTGGAAGGAAAGATTAGCTATTTAAGCAAATAATTAGGACTCAATTAAGGCCAATTTGGCCTCTTGCTGAGGGTAAATTAGACTCTTACAAAAACAGGCTGATTGCCCTTAGGAAAGAGGGTAAAGGAGCCTTTACTTTTTGGGATTTGGTCTGCTCTACTTTTGTAGTGGTTACAAGTCGGGCTACTAACCCCACGGTCAGCAGTTCAGAACTACCAGCTGTTCCGCAGGAGAAAGATGAGGCTTTCTGCTCCAGTAGTGATTTACAGCCTCAGAAACCCTGTGCAGGGTCACTATGAGTCAGACCGACTCCATGGCCCACCAACCACCACCAACAACCACCACCACCCACCACCACCACCCACCACCACCACCACCACCACTTTCCGTCTGGTGTGGCACTATGGGTTTATGCATGGGACTGCAAACTTGGTTTGAACCACAGGCCGGCAGTTCAAGCTCACCAGCCACTCCTTGGAAACCCCATACAGGGTTGCTATGGTTCGGAACCGATTTGATGGTACTTACCAACAACACTTTCTGTCTGGAGCCCTGGTGTAGCACTGGACTGCTAACCCCAGGGTTGATGGTTCAAGCCCATCAGCAACCCCTTGGAAATCCTATATAGGGTTGTTAGGAGTCAGAACCAACTCAATGGCATGGCACTTACAATAACAAGTTTCTTCTGGGAAGGAGCCCTGGCGGTGTAGTGAGTCACGATCTGGGCTGCTAACGGCAACATTAGTGATTCAAATCCACCAGCCACTCCACGGGAGGAAACATTGAGGCTTTCTGTTCCCATAGATTGACAGCTTCAGAAACCCTACACGGGGTTGCTGTGAGTCAGAATCAACTGGATGACATGCAGCCACAGCATTTACTCCTGCAGAAATGTTATGACTAAGTCCCTTTGCAAAGCCCAAGTTACGGATCAAAATTCTCTAATACCACCACCCTCTTAGAATCCAACTTAAATAATCTAACAATTCACATACTAATAAAGCACGAAACCAACAAGCTTTCATGAAGAGATTCCATTTCTTTTTGGCGTTTCTTACTCCTAATACCCTTAAGAGAGGATGTTGCTTCATTGACACATTTTGAAAGTGTTGCTGTTCCGGAGCTTGATGTTGGCCGGTATTTGCTATTAGACATGCACACAAGCCGCTTGATAATTCTCAGGCTGGGCACAGGCCAACCCGTGAAGCCACGATTTTCATTCAGTTCTTACAAAATCAGAGTCCATCACTGACTTCAGTGAGACTAGGATAGGGCAATGCCAGGTGGTACACTGCTCCCATAAAATAAGACACCATCCTGAATGGTGGTGAGTACTCGTCAAGACGTTTCTGAGGGGACCTCTGAAAACTAGAAACTTTAAAAATCCCTTGAAGAATCTGTTAGTGTAGGTACCATCACTATAATTCTAAATCCTGCATAGATTCTGCAAAGAGCCCTGGTGGTACAGTGCTTAGGTACTTGACTGCTAACTGGACTGTGAAGTCAGTTTGAACCGCAAGGTCAGCAGTTCAAGTTCACTAGCTGCACCTGAGAAACCCTATACAGCGTCACTATGGGTCGGAACCGACTGGATGGCACTTAACAACTACTAACTGAAAGGTCAACAGTTGGAACCCACTGGCAGCTCTGTGGATGTCCCTATGGGGCAGTTCAACTCTCCCCTCCAGGGCTGCTATGAGTTGGAATCAATTAGAAGGCCATGGGTAAAGGGCTACTTTCTTCTTGAACATCTTTCAGTCATGAACCACTTCTTCCAGTTGCTTTACTAGCAAGTCCTCAGGGATTTTATTTATTTTTATTTATTTATCCCATTATGCCAAATAATTAGGAAGCTAAAGCTGCTATAAAAATTAAGCATTTGAACAAGGAGATTAAAAATATCTCCTAATTTAGGATAATTGAGAGTCTTAGCTATTATATTAATCTAAACAGAAGTTAAAAGGACAAATCTCTTTGAGGGGAAAATTCTATTTCTAAATTAAATTATTTTAAATAAAAGATCACTGGACCTTTTCCACATTATAAGCCTCCTTCCATTAGTGTATGTAACTGCAGGATTTGAGTCCATTACCATACTTCCCTGTCCTCTATTTGCATAGGCTATGTTCCTGAAGAGAAAGGTTAAAATGTACCAATAATAATAATAATAAATTGGCATGAAATAGAGTTGTAACCTAACAGCCCCCCAAAACAACTCTGCTTAATTAAAATACTCTCAACAAATGAATATTTGTTAAATAACATTTGTCTCAAACTTCCTGTTTGATGACAGAATAGGATTTAATCATACATTTGAAAGAGTCATTAAAGCAGATCTCTTCCATGACTTCCTGTGTGTGAAGAATGCCAAAACATTAACGAAAGAAGTACATCCAATCCTGGCGAAACCGGAATCATTGGAGACTAGAGAGTTAAAATCCAAGGGCTTATTGGGGGATCTACAAAGATCTAAAAAGAAATTCTTAACTGTTTGGGACCAGCAAGTCTCTGGGTAACATGCTTTTTGTTTTCTCACTAAGGTCTGCCTGCTGCCACCACGAGACAGTATGGCCGTCTGGGACATACTTGTCTTCCTAGTACTGCTTGGAGCCAGACAACACTCAACACCAACCAATCTGACTGGACAAGGTCTTCAGAGGACTCAAAACACACATCTCATGCTGTAATTCCCTTAGGCTGTGCTTCTTTCTAGAAGGCTGCTCCTGGGATAGAGGAAAGTGAGCTGCAAGGAGAGAAATGCAACCATCTATGGGCAGCAGGCACATGGGGCTGAAGGGCCTAGTTACTCAAGAGGGGCTGCTTAATGCAAAGAGCCTCCAAGCCAAGGTGCAGCTCTTTCAAGTATGTTCAGAAATGGATTATTTTGCTTTTGGTTTTTTTCCAGAAAGAAAAGAACGGCAGCATAAATAAAAGAACTGAAGTGTGTTTTCTGTGGCCAGGTTTCCTAAGGAAGTTGGTATTTGGAAGTTACCATGGATGGTGAAAGAACCCAGAAACCAAACTATAACATTATAAAGTGGCTTGGTCATGACCAAACACATCAGGACTTGTGCTCAACACAGGATATCAATCTCCAATGTAGATGTCTCACCTTGGCCTTGACCTTTATAACATGTTTTGTAAATGAGGGCCTTTTCCCTTTCATGAAAATAAGGAATAGGCTGCAAAAGTGAAAAAATTGGCAAGGGAAATTTATGCTATGTTCCAGTGATATTGCAAGTAAACAATTAACTTCCAGAGTAAAGGAAGAGGATAAGTAGGGAATAATCAATGTTCAGATATATATCACGTAACAGCATTCAATAAGGTACTTGAGGATCGTGATGGCAAAATTCTTATTCTTAAAAGATTTGTTGTCCTTCTAGGTAGAAGCAGATTTTCACATGTGAATTTCTGGGTGTTTGCCAAACTCTAACTAGGTTTCCAGGAAGAATGTGTTCCTTCTGATTATCAGCATGCCTCCTTTCCTCAGGCTTCAAGTCTGATAACTCATCGGAATTTGACCCCAAGACTATCTGCAAACAGCAGTGCATGTTATCACACAGGCTGCGGAGCAAGACCAGAGTTCCATTTACTGCCAATCCTGAATGAGTCTTGTTATAAGAATCATCAAGACTCATTCATTCTCCAGGAAAAAGGGTAGCCTGAATCCATTTAAAAGTCTAAAAAGCCATAAACAGTAACCCAGATTGATTTGTACAGTTAAGCAAAACACTTTTTACATTTCCTCTCATTTTCCTTGTGTATATCTCCCTCCCTGCTTCAATTTTATTGCATGTATGTGGACAGAAGCAAAGCTTCAAGAAAAATCTTAAAATTTCATAATGAACCTACCCTTGCACTGCCCCTAACCCAACAACATGGAGAATTCGTCCGCTCCATGTGAAGACACTAGAGAGAACTGAAATAACTTTTTGAAACTGCTGCCTCCTATCAGGCCAAGATGTGATAAGAACACTTGTCTAAAGTACAAAGATTATATTTAACCAGTGCTTTCCTGGTGTTTCAACAGGGCCCCTTAAAACCCAGTTGTTGTTTTTATACTTGGGAAAGCAGCAAGCCCTGTGACAAGCTGAGAATTCACTCTAGGGAGAGAATCACTAACAGGTCTGGCTGTTTTACTTCTCCCCACCACTGTATAGGGAGAAACGACAACCCTTAGTGTTCCCAAGAGCTCCAGCCCGGAGCCACTCGGCTGAATCCATGCGCTTTCTTCTTTCACCATGAAATCACGAGTGGACACGGTGCTACTCTCTCAGAAGAGGGGGCGTTAAAGGACTGATCTTCACAGCTGGGTTCTCCCAAGTCTGCTGGCTGTGCCGCAGAATCCTCTGGAGCTTAAAAACCCAAAGAAACCTGCACCACCGCCCCCTCCACATACATCAGATTTTTTTTTGGGGGGGGGAGGGAAGGGGTAAGGTAGGCCTTTATTTTCTGTTTAAAGAAGATTCATCTGAATTGTGTTGAGAGTATCTGATCTAGTGAGTCACTCACTCCTCTGTATGAACCCCTCTGGCCAGGCATTTACATAGCTGATTTCAGCTGTGTCCCGATTAAATGTAGACATATTCTATCACAGAAAGTAGGTATTGAACACAAGAAAGAAAGAGCTCACCAAAGGAGATTCTAAACACCATCTTTTACAGGGTACCAACTCCCATCTCATGTCCAATCTTATGTTCCTTCCACTGGGTTCTGGTCTCTGACTCTGAAATTAAGTTACAGGGGAGCATTACACCCAAGTCCAGACAACAAAGAGATGAGCACAGTACCTAACAGGATGCCAAGGAAAAGATCTTTATTTTTCCATTTTTCTCACCATAAATTCTTGTCAACAAGAGAGAACTCAATTTTATAATAGAAACAAAAGTAACCCAACAAAACAAAACCACCCTCAAAATAATCCATAATTTCTTCCTAGGGTGAATTTGATGACATTAGAATAACACCAAATAGGTGTACAACTGACGCAAACTGAAATGTTTTCATTCTCCCTTGAAATTTCTCTAAAAAAGTAGAGAACTCGAATCAATGCTGCCACCTAGTGGCCAACCAAACCAGGACGCATACTGGTGCAAAAACAGAGGTCATAGGCCCAACTATCTGGTTTCCCTGCTTAATACAGTCGACCAAATCCCGAGCTTCCTGCAAAAAAACCAGAGTAACATTATCTCAAACGATCCTTCCTTCAGAGTCACAAGTCCAGTCATTAGCTTATGAGAAAAAGTACTTCACATGAAATTTTCTTCTGCCCATTTTAAGGCCAGCTTGCCTCTGGCCCAGTAGGGATAACCAGGAGAACATGGACACATCCAGAATACTCATCTATTCAGAGTGTGTACACAGTAATTTTGATGTCTGTTGCCTCAAATACCTCCTCAATCATTGTTGATACATTCTCCCACTGCAAACGATCAAGACCACATCCAATCCTGAAAAAGAGCATACATTTCTATTAGTTGTAATGAAATGATCTAGGAAATTATTCCTCTCCCCTTCCTTTAGGCTGTATGCATCCAGAGCGTAAGATGTGGTTTCTGCTTTTGCACCTTTAGGCAGCCTTGGTGGGAATTTAAAAACCAATTCCTGTGAGTCATCCAAAGGCCATTTCTGTTACATGCCACTGAGTCAGTTCCAACCCACAGTGACCTTGTGTAGGGTTTTCCAATGAGCTGCTGGTGAGCTTGAACCTCCAACCATGCTGTTCATGCCAGCTTTGTAGTCCAGCATATTAATCCACACCACCACACCAGGGCTCCTGTTGTCTAAAAGCTATCCTTTTGCCTAGTGGAGTACTACACTTCCCAATTATTTCATGCCGCCTTCTGACAGACTCATCATCCCTCTATGCCTACTCATGAACACTAGTGTGGATGGAAAAGAGAAGGCTGACATTTAAAAATTACACTTAGGGTAATGGAAAATAAAAAAAGAGGGACAAAGGATAGTAACTCTGCAAGAAGTCACAATGGCATGTGGGGCAATACCAAGCAGGGGGGTAGGCAATGCGGGAGTCAGGTCTTAGCAACATCCTGACAAGGGGCTTTTATCAGTTCACAACATTCTACCACCTGGAAACAAAGGGCTTAAAACTGCCAACTTCATATGGTAACATGCTAAGTAGATCCCCAAAGAACTAATTTTTTTTACAGTTTACAATGCACAGGCCATGACTACATTTAAAAGACTAGTGCAAGGTAAGGGATACTATAACGTTCCTAAGTAACTTGGGACTTGGGAGAAATCTGCATACATGGTCAGTTTGGAATGAAAACAACGAGTAACAGGAAAAGAAGACGTGACCCCAAACCTGTTTCTTGAAAAGGAAGCAGTTTACTGGATCCCCAATTTCATTCCCTAAAATTCCCAACAGCTAGGGTCCAAGAAATCCTATCAGAGATGACTCCTCTGGATATTACCCACACTGGCCACAAACAAGTTCACAGTTTAAAAGTGGGTAATTCACAACTTTCTTCATCCAGAATTAATAGCTTTAGGAACCCACAAGTGGCCCGAGATGAAAATCACAATTGCTTAGTTTCTACCACTCACTTGAGGAGAGGTCAAGCTTCAGCTAGAGGAGGCCTGCCATCCAACACACATTACTTACAGTGGTCCCTCCTGACCAAGTAGCACAGGCTGAGGAAGTTGTGTTTTAAGTTTATTACTCTGATTCATTCAACACAAGCTAGAAGACTGATATGCTACTGGCTAGTCAGCTGTTTCACCAGCTGATTTTACAAAGCTTGGAAATTTGTTCAGCTTAAGTCTATATTTAGGGTTAAATGAAGTCTTTAAGTCACCTGTCTTTGGGTGAGACAGTGACACCTAAACCCTTCTTCCCCTCCCCCACAGACCAGTCATATCTTCATTTAGGGCCCATGAGTTCCTTGCCTGGGCATGGAAAGGTCAGTGACTCCATTCTCCAGACAATGGGATTTCATGGCCTCCAAACTCTTCTGTAAGTTTTCATAAGTTGGCTTGTGTGAAGCCCTTTTCTTTGTAATCTGAGTACAGAGAAAATATTCAAACTTTCATTAGTCCAGAATGATAATCAAGGGAAAGCCATCAATATTCCCCCAACATCCTGATAATGATTTTCATGGTTAGTCTACAGCAGGAATGGCCAATGCCATACTGTCCCTTCCATACTGTCACCGGAAGTCCTCAGCGAAATCCTCTGTCCAATGTCCGAGAATATGTTCCTTCTCCTAGGAAATCTATGAGATTAATAGGCTGTGCTGGTGTCTCCTGTTTTTAAGCAAGGCAAACAAAAACTCTTTGTGCGACTTCCAAAGATAAGCATACCTCCAACAAAGAACCTATGCCACTTAAAAACTCCCTGTTACAAAAGCCTCTATTCACTTTAGAAACTGTGCTTGCTTCTCATTTGTCTAAAAGAGCAGGGAGAAACAGGTAGTGTCTCAAACATGCTCAGAACATTTGGAGTCACTAGAGGCTACCATGTCAACTTTGAGAACAGTATACAAAGTATAAGACATCTCTGCCACTCAGTGTGTTTGTTTACACTTTTTATAATTTCCATTTTGTCTTTATTCTTTTTTTAATGTTTTATTATGAATTATGTGATAGTTTACATGGGAGAACATTAGCTTTACATTCATTCTATCGTATATTGTTTCATGGCCATGGTTATAATCCCCTCCATGCATCATCAACTAACCAAAGGGTACAACCAACCAGAGGGTATACCCTGAAAGCCTGCCCCCTCCCCCCCACGGCATCAGCACACAGCCCCTCTCCCTCTCTGGGTCTAAAGTCCCCAGCCACTCCCATCTCTCCACGTCATTGTGTCTGCCGCCTCCT